CACATTTGGATATAATGACACTTCTCTCTCTTAGTTGAATATCTCTCTATCTATCTATGTCCATCTTTTTCTCTCTCTTTAGTTATCTCTCTCTCTCTTAGTTATCTCTCTCTCTTTTTTAGTTGACTATCTCTCTATTCATCCATTTATTTATCTATTCATCTACCTGTCAACCTCTGTATCTCTTTCTTGTTTTCTTTCTTTCTCTACCTCGTATCTCTCACTTACTCTTACTCTTATTAATTACATCGTCACCTACCTGCTGAATTTAAGATTCCCAATTACTTCTTTGTTCATGTTCACGCTTACACTGCTTTACTTGTCAATAAAGGTATTTAGAGCAGCTTATTTTGCAGGTTATGGGAAGGTACTGTGTAGGAGTCCGGGCGGTGGTCGCGTCCTGCCTCCTTGTGGCCCTCTGCGCCGCCCGCAGCCTTCCTCGCGGGGGGCCGGCGTCCTCTGGCGGCTTCACTTACCACCACCTCCTTTGGCCTCGTCATCCCCTCCTTGGTGGAAGACCGACCCTAGACCAGGGCGGGATGGGGGCGGCCGCCCATCGCCCCCTCTTCCTCGGCCAAGCGCCCTGGACAATCCTCCTTCAGCCGAGGGAGCGACTTCCTCCCTTCCCGGAAGTTGGTTCCCGCAAAGGCGCTGGGAAACGGAAGCGCGTCCTCAGCGTGTTGGCGACGCTGCACCCCGCGAGGCCGTCGCCTAAGGACACGGGCCGCCGACACACAGTTCCCGAGGGCGCCGATGTTCAGCCCACACACAGACCCATCGGGAAGCAGCCTCTGCGCTGGGGACGGTAACGCGCTCGCGGTCGGCACCGCTGCGGCTGCCTTCAGGAAAGTGGCAGCGTATCACGAGGCGTTTGCTTACCTTTATCCGCGGAAGGTAAACATTGATGAACCTGATCAAACGCAGGTGCACAGGCATCGCATACCGCTGTGTTGGTACCTGTCCCCCTTTCTGTTTTCAACCTTGCAGCACTTGTTCGTGTAATGTGTCTACCACTATCTGACAATCAGAACATGTAAATATACTCTTAAGCGCACTTACTTCCTTTGTAACATTTTTATTGTGATATTCTCATTTGCATTTGTTATCCTTATCTATGCTCTTATAA